GGGGGGGGGGGGGGGGGGGGGGGGGGGGGGGGAGGTCGAGGCTGACGTCGATCGCCAGTGGTGTAGGTCAGGGCGGGGCGCAAATTGGTGTCGGGAGCCACGTGGAGGGTGTGCAGAACGCGGCCGCGGCCGCGGCCAATTGCTTGGCTTCGTCGCTTATCCGGCACGCTTGTGCGGCGGCTGGGACCAGAGGTTACAGCGCCAAGGCGGCGGGAGGCAGCGATGTGATCGGGATCGACCTGGGCACGACCAACTCCTGCGTGGCAGTGATGGAGGGGAAGATGCCACGGATCATCGAGAATGCCGAGGGGGCAAGGACGACCCCCTCGGTCGTGGCTTTCACTCCTAAGGGCGAGCGACTAGTGGGTACGCCTGCCAAGCGTCAGGCGATTACCAATCCCACTAACACAGTCTATGGCACCAAGCGGCTGATAGGCCGAAGGTTCGACGACTCGGTCGTGAAGAAGGAGATGAGCATGGTCTCGTACAAGATCGTTTCCGGTCCCAACGGCGACGCCTGGGTGGAAGCCGGCGGGCAGAAGTTATCGCCCAGCCAGGTTGGCGCCTTCGTGCTGGAGAAGATGAAAGAAACAGCGGAAGCGTATCTGGGCCGATCTGTGACCAAGGCCGTGATCACCGTTCCCGCCTATTTCAACGACGCCCAGCGGCAGGCGACGAAGGATGCTGGGCGCATCGCTGGCCTGGAAGTGGCGCGCATCATTAACGAGCCGACGGCGGCGTCGCTTTCCTACGGCATGGAGAGGAAGGATGGCGGCTTGATTGCGGTGTTCGATCTAGGCGGCGGCACGTTCGATATTTCTATACTGGAGATATCGGGCGGCGTTTTCGAGGTGAAGGCGACCAACGGGGACACGTTTTTGGGCGGGGAGGACTTCGACAACGCGCTCTTGAACCATCTTTTGGAGGAATTTAAGAAGCAGGAGGGGATTGATTTGAGGGGAGACCGGCTGGCGTTGCAGCGGCTGCGCGAAGCGAGCGAGAAAGCGAAGATTGAACTGTCTTCGACGCCGCAGACGGAGATCAATCTTCCGTTCATCACGGCCGACGCGACCGGCGCCAAGCATCTTCAGCTCAGCTTGACACGCTCCAAGTACGAGTCGCTCGTCGAGCAGTTGCTTGCCCGAACGAAGCAGCCCTGCAAGGACTGCCTCAAGGATGCGGGCGTTTCGGCTAAGGACATCGACGAGGTGGTACTGGTCGGCGGCATGACGAGGATGCCACGTGTGCAGGAGATCGTGCGGTCGATCTTCGGGAAAGATCCTTGCAAGGGGGTCAATCCGGACGAAGCGGTGGCGCTGGGGGCGGCGATCCAGGGCGGCGTGCTTCGTGGTGACGTCAAGGACATCCTGCTGCTGGATGTCACCCCTCTCTCTCTCGGGATCGAGACGCTTGGCGGCGTCTTCACCCGCCTGATCAGCAGGAACACGACGATCCCGACCAAGAAGTCGCAAGTCTTCTCCACTGCGGCCGATGGGCAAACTCAGGTCGGGATCAAGGTCCTGCAGGGAGAGAGGGAGATGGCGGCGGATAACAAGCTGTTGGGCGAGTTCGATCTGGTCGGGATCCCGCCGTCCCCGCGGGGAGTCCCACAGATCGAGGTCGCTTTCGACATCGATGCCAACGGGATCGTGAACGTGTCGGCGAAGGACAAAGCCACCCAGAAGGAGCAGGCCATCACCATCCAGTCGTCGGGAGGACTGTCGGAAGCGGATATCGACAAGATGGTCCGCGAAGCGGAGCAGTATGCGCATAGGGACAAAGAGAGAAAGCAACTCATTGAAGCGAGAAACGTTGCGGACACGCTGATCTACTCCACAGAATGAAGCTTGAACGAGCACAAGGACAAGCTTCCTCAGCATGTGGTGGACAGTGTGAACAAAGCGATATCGGGCTTGAGAAAGGCGATGGAGGGAGACGACCTGCAGTCGCTGCAGACTGCCATTGACGCGGCCAGGGCCAGCTCGTTACAGATCGGAGAGGCTATCAACAAACAGGCAGGCGGATCGGGATCGGGATCGGGATCGGCCGCGGGGCCGACGGGTTCCGCGGGCGAAACCACTCCGGAGGCGGAGTACGAGGAACCTGGTAGCAGGAAGTGAGGGATCCCGTTACTACCGTCTTCCCCCGAACACAACGCACCCTCATTTTGGCTGTATCTGGCCCGAAATATACCTTCTATACATTCACTTTTACGGTGCGTTATGTTCGGGGGAAGATGCACCGCTCCATTACTCTCACTCAGAATGTGTAAATTTGAGAATGAATCTTTCGGTAGAACACGGAAAGATGCACCGCCATATTTTTTGTTTTTTTTGTACATTTGGTGAGTAGTGGATCGAGGCCCTTAACGGTCGAATTTCTTTTTTTCTGTTTCTCTCTCTGCGTTGTGGTCACTGGTCACGTCTGCTTCTTTTGCTTCTTTTTTTCTCCTCTTTTTTTTTTGTTGTTGTCGTTTTCATAGCTAGATAGGCGTTGTCATGACGTGAGGTTTCTTTGGGCGATTCTTGTTCGGCGTTGACCCTCGATCCACCACTACACGGCATTCGAAATGTATCTTGAGTTGGTAGTTGGCCCACAGAAGTGCAAAAGTGTTGGGGCAGTCCAAATGTATAGCGGCGAAGATACAGTCTAGATGCGTTTGGAATGTTGTGTAGTAGAGTGAGGATGGGTGTTGTCGCATGTCTATAGTAGACTGCTGCCGGCGTGTGTGCCACTACACAAAGAACTGCAAGACCTCGCAGGCTGTCCATTTGTGCTCCTTAGGCGATCTGTAGAGAGAAGAGTGGAGAGTGTCGTGCGTGAGGGATAGAGGTGAGACGGGGGTGGGTTTGTTTTGGCTTTACTTTTTAGATCGACGTGGGAATTGACGATTTTTTTGGATAGAGGGCCTCACTCCAGTATTCTGGTAATGTGGAAAACGAGAGTGAATCTGCCGCTAGAACGTTGGACAGGTACATCGCCACGATTTTTGTCTTTTGTGCATGCCGAGAATAGTGGAGCGAGGCCCAGAGAGTTGGGCCCACTGTTGATCGTCATGATCAGACTTTTTTTATTTGTTTTTTTGTTTTGTTTTGTGTGTGTGTGTGTGTGTGTGTGTGTGTGAGAGAGAGAGAGAGAGAGAGAGAGAGAGAGAGAGAGAGGTTTCAACTTGTATGTACACAGAATTTGTGCAGCCCGGTAGGGGAATAGAACGACAGTTTTGTCCAGTCGGTAAGGAACCTGGGTATTTGAGCAATTTCAATTTCAGGGCCCTTGTAATTGGGTGAACTGAGCACAATAACCGTTTCGCTAAGTGGATGTAGAAACAATTTCTGCAATCCGGTAGTGGGATATGACGACAAATTTTGTTCAATCGGCTAGGAACCCGGACAGTTTTGTTCAGGAAAAATAAAAATTAAAAAATAAACAAAAATAATAATAATAATAATCATTTTCTTTAATCGTCCAGGTTCCTGGACATTTCGGCAATTTGGACTTTCCGGTAGTTGGGTATACTGGGAATTTGGAGGTGTCCCTGGGCACAATGATAAGTGTGGCCGTGGGTCTACGGTGCAACAGAAGAGCCAATTTGAAGTCAGAAAATGAGAGACTGTGACAATTTTCCCAAAAGAAGTTCCCTCTGCATGCTACCAGAAAAATGGAGAGGCGATCTTTGGTGATGTGAGTATGCCCATATTCTTTGACCTTGTTCATTGGTCATGCGAGTATGCCAAATTTTTCAGCTTGCATGTGGGTACGACCATTTTTCAGCTTGTTCATTTAATTTGGTCATGTGAGTATGCTCTGATATGGACTGCAATTACGGCCAGACCTTCAATTTGGTCATGTGAGTATGCTCTGATAGGGACTGCAATTACGGCCAGACCTGTATGAACCTGACAGCAATCACGTCTACAGCTTGGTAGAAAGAGTCGTAGGGGAAGATCCCACTTCTTATAAGGAGGGCACTTCTAGTCAAAATTTGGGATCATACGTCTTTCCAGGAAACACGGATCCCGTCCGGGAACGTCGGGTAAGTGGAAATATTCTTGTACGTGGAGGGGTGAGCGTCATTGCAGGGGCGGTAGTTTTTTTTATTTTGGGGAGAGGCCACCCCTTACCCTGCACCGTGAAAGGAGGCCTTGTTTTTCTTCCTTTATTCTTTTCCTGATGTGCAGGCCATTGGATCCTCGAGGCGCCAGTAGATAGTGCCGCTCGGTTAGGAAAAGTCCTGCAGATGTAGGGCATGTGGGGATGCGTTTTTGTTTTTCTCTCAGGTTTTGTGCGACCTCTTGCAGCACTTTTACGTTCTTACCAAAAATGGTAGAAGTGGGATCTGCCCCTTAGTGTGAGTATTCCATCAGGGTAGCAGAAAAACAAGGGATGATTCCGCCCATGCCGAAACCTTTTCGGTTGTGGACGCCAGAAACTCGGCCGTTTGGTACTACCGGCCGAATGACTTCTATGTAGGGTCCGAAACTCGGCCGTTTGGTACTACCGGCCCAATGAATTTCATGTAGGGTACTACAGGCCCACCCGTCGTTCCAAGGGCCCTACCGGATCATGAATCTGGTGCTGGTGCATAACAGCGCCAGATTCATTTTGATGTCTGCTGGTGCATAACAGCGCCAGATTCATTTTGATGTAAAAGAGGCTGACGATGGTACCGCTGAAGTGTTGAATGAGGCCCACGTACGTGATTTTGAAAAAAAAGGGCCCTACCAGTTCTTTAATCTGGAGCAAAAACTACGCAAAATTCTTGAACCAAGTTTCACCAAGGCTGAAGATGGTTTGGGCCACCAAACGGCCGAGTTTCAGGCGCCCAAAACCGGGAAGGTTTTTGCGTGGGCTCTTTCCACCAATTATCCTGAAAAACAATGTCTTCTCTTAGGGTATAGAGATGGCTATCACAACCAAGGTAGGCAGCAGGTGCGTTAAAATTATCCTGAAAAACAATGTCTTCTCTTAGGGTATAGAGATGGCTATCACAACCAAGGTAGGCAGCAGGCGCGTTAATTACCCACTCCTGACATAGGGAGGTAGTGACAAAGAAAAACAATACTGGGGATAGAGAAAAGAAAAGCATTGAACAATTTCGGCACGGGAGGAGATAGTTGAGAGAAGAAGAACACAATGCAAAGAGCTTGGAAGGAAATGTGACAGGAAAGATAAGAGAACCAGAAGCAAGCGGAGTGGTACTGAACATCTCTACCAAGGTCTATCTGGATAGATGAAAAGTAGACCCTGTGTGAAGTGCATTATTTTGACTTGATTGCAGTACATTGTATTTGAAGTAATATCTCTAATACTCTAAAGGAAATAGCGAGTCTCGCGTGATCGTCCCACGCGAGAGATGCTGCTAGTGTTAGGAAAGAAAAAAATGGGCCCAGGGCCCGTGCATGGAGCTACCGAGGAGGCCAACGAGGGTAAGGCGGGCAGGCCAGTTTGAAAGCGAAGCGGGCAGCGAAACGGTGTGGCGGCCGAACGGGGCAGGCTGCAGGAAAGGCGACCGGCCGCAAAACGGTGTGGAGGATGAACGGGGCAGGTTGTAGGAAACGCAGGGAGCGGGTGGCAGCGAAACTGTGCGGTTGCCGAAAGGGGCAGGCAGTTGGCGGATGGTGATTGGCCGGCAGTTCAAAGTTGGCGGATGGTGATTGGCCGGCAGTTCGAAACTGTACGCAGAGCGAGCAGCGCGATGGCTGATGCGCGCGGGGTAGAGAGAGAGAGAGAGAGAGAGAGAGAGAGAGAGAGAGAGAGAGAGAGAAATAGCAGCACCGATCGGAGGAGACCTTCAGGACGATAAGTGGAGAGGGAGAGGGAGAGAGGGAAAGAGTAGCATCAGTGGTGGGTAGGAGAAGTCGGGGGGCAGACGCCGACCAACGCGGCTGGCCGCACATTGAGGAACCACAACAATGACAAGCGCCATGGCAGACCGAGGTAGGGTCCTTTTGAGCCTTTCGCCTTTTCTTTCTCCTCTCTCTCTCTCTCTCTCTCTTCAAGAGATGTGCGAATCGCGATCGAGAAGGCGAGAGAGAGATAACTACGATTTTGTCAAAACGTACATATTTTATGTTTTGAACGAAATTGAAACTCGTTTTTTTTTTTTTTTTTTTCATTTTCAAGCAATTTTATTACCGCATTATATAGGATATCATGCATTGTCGAAAAATATGGCTAAAATTGCTCAACATTCGCTTGGGAATTCTATTTTTTTGGATTGTCGAATATCTTTCAAGTGCATGTACTCTAAAATTTGAAGAGTTTCGATTTTTTTTTTTTTTTTTATATTAATAAAACCGGATAATATAATAAACATGCTCAAATTCGCTTGGGAAATATGTTGGAAAAGACATTAAATAAGCATTATGGTCTTGCTTTTCTTTAAATTCATAATAAGTTTTGGTAAAATATTCAGAAACCAATATCCTTTTGTGCATATAATAAGATGGTAAATACGATACATTTTTTCAATGTGATTTTTTTTCTGCTGTATACAACAAGAACCCCAATACTTTTAAAACATTCAATGCAGAACCTTTTCCAAAATGTAAACGTGCACCATTTTTTTTCTTTTTCTTTATTGCCTCTCGTACGAAATTGAGAATCTTGTCATATTTATACGAGTCTGTCACAATAAATACACCGCAAATAAGTAAACAACTGAACATTTATCCACATTGTTATACGATGCGCCACATCTGTCAACATCGCTCCACGTCCACCACTTAACAACTCATCATCCATGATTGTATATCCCCGCTTATACTCTCACATTTCCCTACTCTTCCATTACCCGTGGGTCCTATTTATTGCATTAATGATGAAAATCTGCACGGTCACATCGTTTGAGCCGTCTAGCATGTACGTTGGGATACGCGAAACATGCATGCTTTCAAAGTTGGTTATGAAAGCAGATCAGCCTTCAAGTCTTCTACCCTCACGCATCAATGCTGTTTTTTTCCCCTCGTGGACTTGCAAAGTTGCTTCATGATATTCCACAAAATCTTGCTCGCTTCCCATTTCTCATTGTCTTCCATTAATTTGCACGTTATACACGTCGATCTCTGCGAACCTCACGACAATTATAAACAATTTACATCCATAAAGTTCATATTTCATTATTGAGTCGTATTCATATGGAAATGGTCCGTTGGTTGTGGTGATCGTTGCCCCAGGAGACACTGCAACGGGAGTGACACTTGCCATTGTTGTGAAAGTTACACCTTAATTTGTTTATTTTCTGTAATAATGTCGAGCACTATAACCCTGCAATATCGATTATGTAATGTTGTTGAAAATTAGTAATCCGATAATTATCAACATTCTTGAAACAAATAAATAGTAGTTTGTAATACAACAAATACTGATTGAAAGAAAAATACAAACAACTATGATGCACCCACTGGGATATGCAAACTTTGAGCATTTAAAGTACAAATGTTAGTGATTTTTTAAAATTCACATATGCATCATAACCGGAAACGAGCTATTGAACAAAGAAAACACGAATAAAAAAAAAAAAAACTTGATTGTGTTCAGCACACAATGTGAATCTGACGATCACTGCAACGCATTATCACTTTCTCTTGGCACAACAAAGACAACCGTTCACATATCTGGTTCAACGTCCGGATATACGTTGTTGAATATATCCTCTCGATGACTAATGTGCTATGCCAACTTATGCTATCCAGTTTATGCATTGAACATAAGCGATATAAAATTTCTTGCGTGCTTTATGTCTTCACAGTATGGATAATCCACAACTATCTTTTGTCTGCCACCCACTAACGGTACTTCTTTTTGTCCTGACCGATGATACTGCTCCGTACGATCACTTCATACGTGTCACATTTTCTATGCTCGACTGTGAATACTATCTTCTCATATTTATAAAAAGAGTAATGAAGTTGCACATGCACCAAACTTTCAACCCTGTACATTAACTTTTTCCTAAGTGCCGCATCGATTTTCAACCGATTCTGAAACTGTTCGGGTATGCTCGAACCAGCGGGGTCTCATAATTCTTCCCGTGCATAGAATAACGCATTTATTTCCGTGCCAGTGACCTTCACTGCTGTAAAAAATGCCATTATGGCGTTGCCTCTATTACATACTCGGATTCGACCATAATATTCCACTATCACTAGTGCGAACAATTCTCTTCTGCCAATGGAATATCACGCGCACACTTTTTAATTCCTTTTGTTTTTTTCATCTCAGTCCTGTTTTATGCATACCTCCCTTCAGTTTACTAACATCTCCAATGGGTCAACAACATTTATCCTCGATACTATGGCGTCAACCTCTTCCTCCTTTGTGTACAAGTACGATACATTCGATGCATGATCATACACGATCGTCTCCTGTCCGTTGACAAAACCAATTATCGGCAGAATTTCTCCATCCGGTCCAACTTCATTTTCGACATTTATGCACCCATAATTTGAAAATTCATCGATGATCCCATCCGACCAAATGTTTGTGCCTAAAATAATCAGATCCTCAATTGTTGATGAGACTTGATGGGAGGATCTCCTTGCATGCGAGCTGGTTTGACCGACTTTCGTTCTGCAAATTGAGCGCGTATACGAACAAAATTCGTGAGTTTCATCATATTGGATCATGAATACATCAAATTAGTACGTTTGTTACACGTTATACAATTTCACAAAGTATACAACAACGAACATACTAGGTTTAACGTCTACTTGCTCCAATTTTAGCAACTACTGCCCCTCGCACCTTTTTCTACCACTTCACATATTTGTC